GGTTAAAGCCTCTGCCTTCGGCTCAGGTCATGATCCCAGGGTCCTGGGATCGAGCCCTGCATCGGGCTCTCTGCTCAGCAGGGAGCCTGCTTCCCTTCCTCTTTCTCTGCCTGCCTCTCTGCCTACTTGTGATCTCTCTATCACACAAAAAAATAAATAAAATCTTAAAAAAATAAAAAAAATAAAGTACCTTCCTAAAAAAAAAAAAGAACATGGAATGTCAAAATGAATGAGATGCCTCTGGGCATGGAAAATGGGAAGATGGCCTTGATATATAGTTGATTTAAAAAGTATACAACAGCTATTGAGATGTGCATGAGTCTGCTTTTTTTGCTTAAAAATAAAATATGCATAGATATGTCTGTATGAATTATATAAAAAGGAAGAATAACCTCTGAAAATGTTAATATTGGCTATCCCTAGAGGTGGGCTTGGGTAGGCAGAAGGTAGTACTTTCATTCTATTTGTATTTCTTATGATAGGATTATGAGTGATTTTTTTACTTTTTAAAGTGTTTCTTAGTATTTTTTAATATAGAAAAATTTCAAAGGGTGTATAAGAGAATTTTATCTGGAGAATGTTTATAATATTTTAAGCGAAAAACAGTATTAGAGTAAGATTTTGATTTTCTGATCTATCTGAATTTTCTCTATAATATGATTTTTTATAATTTGACAGTGAAGTTTTTACTAAAGCATTCTTTCTGCCCTATTTTCAACAACAACAACAAAAAAAAAGCACAAAGGAAAAAATAAATACATCAAGGAAAGGTCCTAACTAGAGGTAGGGGTTGGAAGTAGGGGAGATGTGTAAATAGGGAAGCAACTTATTATCCAAGTATTTAAATTTGTTTGCATTAATATAATGCTAATAATAATCATAATAGTAACAGTGACAGCTCACATTTACTGCATGCTTATTAAAGCCAGATATTGTCCTAAGTACTTTGCATATATTAACTTAGTTAATCCTCTGTTATCCCTGTCTTAAAGAGGGGGCTCCGAAAAGTTCTTTCTTGCCGAAGATTACAAAACTATTACCTGTCCAAGCTGTGTTATAACCTATGCAGTCCTTCTCCAGAGGTTGTACCTGACACACTGCTGTCTCTGTCAGTTTGTGAGATTCCAGATACCAGTCCAACTCTTAATAAGGGTTTTAGGTTTTTTCTGCATTGATAAAAGACTTAAAATTTTAGGTCGGGATTCTGGTAGTATCCAAATTTTCCTAGTATCCAGACTTATTTTTTCAGCCCATCAGGGATTGGGAAAAAGCCTTTGTGATTTCTGCATCTCACCAGAAGTGAACAGCTGTAGGGGATAAAATTGTAGCCAACACATTGGTTGCATTCTGTTTTGTTTCTCTGGGTGGGCAGCTTGGCATAGTGGGAAATAGTGGCTTCAGGTAGAATTGAGTTTAAATTCTGGCATCAACATTCTCTAGCTTCTAGCCTTCTTTGTTTCTTTATTTGGAAAATAAAGATAATATTGCTCTTCAGGGTGAATATGAGAATTACATGAAATAATATAGGCAAAAGACCTTCAGAGTAGAGTCAGGCACATAGTAAAATCTTAATAAATATTAAGTCGCTTCTGGTAGATATCTCAGAATAAGTTGAAGAATCATCAGGAAACAAAATATACCGGATTTTTAACTATAAAATGCAGGTACAATTAATACTGGAAAATGAATATTCGGTGGGGAAGTATTAATATTTTAAGATGCCCGATTAATTCAGCACATTCCTATATACAAACCCAAATAATTTGTGGCGATTAGTAAATTCATTTTTAATGACCCTTACATTTCACATCATGAGAATGTAAAACATTGTAATCAGTTATCTTAAAAACATACATTAGAAACTAATGGTCTGGTGTGATAGGAAAATTTTATCACAAGTCAGACTAAACTCATACAGCAATCTTTTGTTAGTTTCTTCATTTAAGCTTTTATCCCTTTGCTCTTTTAGGGGCTCCTGGCTGGTTCAGTCAGTGGGGCATGCGACTCTCCATCTGAGGGTAATGAGTTCAAGCCTCACACTGGGTGAGGAGTCCACTTTAAAAAAAAAAAAAAGAGGGTATCACGTTGATCTTTTAGATGTTTTCACATTTTTGTCCATTTTTTGATGAATTTTTCCATTGTTTTTGCTAATCTCCCCCTTTTTTCTCCTATTTAAAATTAAATGTTACCAATTTCTATATATGTTTTTGTTTCATGTTTCTTCTTCAGGTCTTTTAAAAAAAAAAAAACCCTGCATTTTATCCCACTGCCTATATAGAAAAATATCTCAGTATATTTATTACTAAAGTGGCATGTGGTGTTGAGTAGTATTTTGGGTGGTTTGAAATCATCATGCCTTCTGAAGAAGTGTGGCAGAGAGCAATTAGATTCTGAGTGGAGAACTATGGAGATTTATTTCTGTTTGATTTTGGGGCTATTTCTTTATTTAAAATCAAATTTTCCACAATTTAGTAATTGAGCACATTCTGTTATTTATTTAATAGGTTAGCTCACTTTGAAAATACTTACTTTGTATCTCACTTCATTACATAACACCCTAAGAAAAGATACTGGATTTAAGTACATTCAAGAATAATGAAACATTTAAGGACCTTCCTTTCTTGACTTACTGTTATTCTTTTTTTGAAAAAAATGGTTATATGTGAAAACTGTGTTCTTTTAAAAGTACAGTTGTATTTTCTGCCTTATTAAAATAAGTTTATTTCTAAGAGCGATTTTTATTTTAAACAATAATTTTCTGCAGGAATTCTTCTCTCACTATTATTATCTTAGCATAATAAAGTACATTCAAAATTAGTAAATTACTTTTTTATTCTGTAATCTAATGTACATCATCAAATAAATATGAAAATCTTGTCCTTTTTTTTTCTTTTAGAAGAATTGAAATCAAACTCTCCCACACCTACATTCTGTATACATGATTGTTCATTGTTTTGTTTTGTTTTATATATACATGATTATCCAGATCCCTATCTGTAATCCAGGATACTTAGTTGCTCTCATGATGACCTAAGTTATTTGTACTTCCTGACCATCATAGATATTGGTGGCCCTAATTGGAATAACTTAAAAATTGATTCCTAAACATAGCAGTTCTAAAATTCATACTTCTCAAATATCTATTCAAACCTAATTGACAGCAAATAAAATACCTTCATATTTTACTTGTTTTGGAGGCTGAAAATTTCCTTCAGTGCACTCTGCAAGGGACCTCTCTCTGTTACATAAATCTTAACATCTTGAGACTACTGTGAGGACTATTGATAATGTATATAAAGGCCGGTGTGTGGTGCCTAATACATAGCAGATAGTCAGCAAGAGGCAACTGCTGTTTTTATTCTCTAAGAATGACTGGAACAAATGCCAGTACATGCTTTCTGCTGAAGATGCTCATTTGTGTCCTACTTATGTTCACCCTTCTTGCCTCCCTCAATTATCATTCTTGGATAGTAGTGCCAGCAGAAACTAAAGGTGGTCATTTTTCTTCTCTCTGAAGAAAAATATAATATTGACTGCAGTGGTTAAAAACAAGATACTTATGTTATATTTATAAAGCAGATCTTGAGAAAGGGTGATTTTTAAAAATTATCTCTGTAAATAGTCTTGGCTACTCTTTGAGATCTTACATATTTGAAAAAATATGTATTCTTTGTCAAAATTAATAGGTGATTTGAATCACCTATATTTAATCACCTATATTTAATATAGAATTGTACTTAGAAATAATTTTCCTTTAATTTCAAAGACGTGTAAAGCCCATTAGATTGGCTTTGGCTTCCAATGGTTGTATTGAGAAATTTCTTGCCATTTTGAGTCTTTATCTTTAGTCTGTGACTTACTTTGTCACTCAGGAGCTTTTAAGGGTCTTCTCTTTTTCCTGTCATTTGAGACATTTTACCTGGTACCCTTTGCCTTCAGTGGGTGTTTGAAAATGTATGGAAACAGTTTTGGACGTCAGTGTGACTAGGGAGGATGCTTTGGGATTTAGTGCCTGGATATGAGAAAGCTTAATTTTCTTAAAAAGCAGGAAAGCGTCTCACTCAAAATGTCAGTAGGCCACTGTTGAGAAATACTGTAACCTTTGTATATGACAAGAGAAACAAGACATGTACACCAAAGGCCAGTCAATATGTTTGGTAATGAGGTTGTAAACATGCTCTGTGAAACAATGAAGAAAGTATAAATGACAAGTTACAGATTGAAGTAGAATAAAAATCACTACATGAAATATAGACAGTAAATTATCCATTAGTATGTATTTACTATGTTACTGCTTTGGGTTACTAGTTGGACATTATCTGCACTATTGTGCTTACTCATATTTTTGACATTTTTTTCTGTATTTCCAAGTATTACCTGCTCTTAATTACTTTGATAAGTCAAAAAATTATTTATTCTTTTCTATGGTAGGATATCTATTTGTAATCTGAACACGTAACAATTCCAGATCCAGACAGAGTTGACGAGTAACATTTTTGCAGAGGCTAGAACTTGACAGACAATGATAGCATTGTGTATTTAAATTGAAGTGGAATTTGGGAAAGAGTTGAGCAATAGTTGTACAGTTTCATAGCAGCTTCTTAGCAGTTTGCAATTCTGTTTCATTAATGTCTCAGAAAATGAATTACCAGAATAGCATATATAGTTAGCTATATTACAAGAATGCAAACATTCAAGGACAAAGATTGATTCCTTCTAGATTTCCACCATTGTCTCATGGTTCACATCATTGTTTTACTTCACTGATGTGGCTAGCTGGCCACATTAGTGAAAACTGTAAATTAGAAATACATTAGGAATACAGAACTTGAAGGAAGCAGAGAGGGATTAAGATAATGAGGTGGGGAGGTAGTGGAAGATGGTAGAATAAGTAGCTTGATAATTCATACTAACATAACAATTGTTAGATATTTTTAAATAATCCAGTTCTAATGCAGAGCCTTCATTTAATATATATATAATAAACTTTTATTTTTCAGAACCTAAATCACAGCTGCAGCAGCTTCATCAGGGACAACACAGATTGTCAAATACTGAGCAAAATGGAGTAAAAGATAATAATCAACCAAGATATCTTCCTCGAAATGATACCAGACAGCCAAGAAATGAGAAACCTCCTCGTTTTCAAAGAGACACCCAAAATTCAAAGTCAGTTTTAGAAGGCAGTGGATTACCTAGAAACAGAGGTTCTGAAAGACCGAGTACTTCTTCAGGATCTGAAGTATGGGCTGAAGAGAGAACCAAGTGTGATAGACCCTATTCCAGATATGACAGAACTAAAGATACTTCATACCCTATAAATTCTCAGCACAGTGATGGTGCTTTCAAAAAAAGGGATAACTCTATGCAAAGCAGATCAGGAAAAGGTCCATCCTATGCAGAGGCAAAAGAAAATCCACTTCCTCAAGAATCCACTGATTATAATAATCAAAAACGTGGGAAAAGAGAAAACCAAACAGCAAATCCTGATCATTTTTATGACAGGAAACCACGAACAATAACTAATGAAACTTTCAGTGGTGTAAAAATTGAAAAACATTTTAATGTAAATACTGATTTCCAGAATCCTGTCCGAACTAATAGTTTCATTGGTGTTCCAAATGGAGAGACAGACATGCCACTGAAGGGCCGGCGAGTAGGACCTATTAAGCCAACAGGACCCATCACAGCTACGCCCTATGATGATAAAGTGTTTTACAGTAGTGGGCCCAAAAGAAGATCTGGGCCTATTAAACCAGAAAAAGTACTGGAATCATCTATTCCTATGGAGTATGCAAAATTGTGGAAACCTGGAGACGAATGTTTTGCACTTTACTGGGAAGACAACAAGGTATGCATGCACTGAAGTTATCATATACTAATATTACTAAATGTCACATTCCAGTGAGAGTATAGAAGGCCATGCTTTGGGACTGTGAGTTTTGTTCTATGGCCATAACTGTTTAAAGTCTTTGAAAGATTTATAGATAGGTAATTTATAAAAGGAAAAATAAAATATTTAATATTTTTATGAATGGTTAGGGAGAATCGGTCTCAAAATTTGGTTAGGTAAGGTTTGATTTTAAATTGTATATCAGAACAGTATTTAAAAGTAATTAAATGAAGTTGATCAGTTACTCCATTTATCATCAACTGAACTATCAATGTTTACTTTTCTTTCTAATAAAGTTATACTGATGCACAAGGAAGAAAATGAGTTGAGTGACACAGAGTTAAATCCTGCAGATTTCATTTTTAAATTGAAGAAAATATGCAATTGGCCTACTTAAAAAATAACGGGAAGGTTAATTATTTAGCTAACATTAATGATAATTATTAAGCCAATCATTTAGACATTCTTTAGTTCTATGTTATATATTGGCTACAGTAGAAAGCAAGAAATCATGGAGAAAGGGAAGGGAAAGACAGATACTAAGTCAAGAAGGAATACAGTGGAGCAGATAAGAATCTGGCTGAGAGGGATAACACCAAAAGGGAACAGGAGGGGTAAGCAGAAAGAGGGACCTTCAGAGAGAAGGACCTTTGCATGTGTTTTCCCTTCTGCCCAACATGCTCTTCTACCAACTGTTTTTCTTGTTCTTGAGGCTTGGCTCCAAGATCAATTCCTGGAGAAGCCTTCTTCACCCTGCCCCTTCCTCCTTCTATCACTGATGTCTTTCTCAATCAGTGCCTTGTTCACTTTCTAAAATTTACCACAGTATGTAAGTATTTTTAGTTTTGGTTCTAGGATTGATAAGCTCTTTCTCTTACCATAATGTTCAGTTTCTTGGAGGCAGGGCTATGTCTGTCTAGTTTTCCTCTGCAGCCCTGCTTCTCCCCAAATGGAGGGATTTCATAATTACTTGTACACCCTGTAATTAGTTAATTCTGAAGGGGGCACTTATATTGGATAAAAGGGAGATTGGTAGGGAACTGGACATATCAGCAAGATCATAGTAAAAAGCAAAAAAGAGGAGTTATAGTGTGAGAGAGCTGGGTGGATGTGAGGATTAAGTTAAAGAAAAAATATTTGAAAAAACTATTTCATAGATAGAGTAGTTTCAGTTGATAAGGTAAGGCTGTGCCCATGAGTATTTGTGTTTGGCTAAAAGGAGTAGTGGAGGCAGTTAACTGTAGTTTTCAGGGAACTGAAATTCAGGCTAGGGAATGTGGTTGGATCTTTTAAAAGGATGCAGTTGGGCCAGAGATCAGGAGCTAGGGCCTCTTGTGTTCAGTGACTGATGAAGCATAAGCAGGGTGTTAGGTATTTCCCAATGACAGCAAGGAGAAGGGTACAGGGTGGTATAACTAGATGGCGTAGTCATGCAAGGTTTTTGTATGAATGTGGGATTGCATCTGTCCAGAAGCAGCATCTCTACTGTTGAGTTTTTTTTTGTTGTTGTTGTTGTTTTTTACTGTTGAGTTTTTATTCAAGGCCAGAAGGAGAGGAGGAGACAGCACTAGCGTGTCGTCATTGCCGCCGCCGCCTCCTCCTCCTCCTTCTCCTCCTCCTCCTCTTCTCCCTTCTTCTTCAAGAAAAGCAGAAGCCATTCCAGAAATACCGTCAGACAATCTCATTGGTTGGAACTATTTCACTGGCTCTTCCCTTGTTGTTAGGAAGGCCTGGAAAGCAAGTACAGGTGATCTTCACCACCCAGACTCTTACTCTTACAACTCAGGTTACTCGCTTTCCAACATACAGGAACTATTTGATTTAGGTAGTGGGAGACTATTTATGTTCAGCTATTTCTCCCTCTTGGTAAAGGCAAGTAAAGGTAAAGTAGTTGGAAATTAGCGTTGGTTGATAGAGCTAATGGTATCTATCTTAGAGGGAATGGCTACTTGTGTCAGTTGCTTCTGTGAAAGTTTGATTAAGCTGAGAATGGAAAATTTTTTTTTGTATTGGACAATGTAAGATTATTGGTGATCTTGATGAGCAGAGGGAGTAAATGGAGTTCCAAGTTCAGTAACTTTTGAAAGGGTTAGTATATGACTCATGCTTTCTATTGAAATCGCACAAAGATCATGCCCTAGTAGTAAGTGCAAAACTAATACCAACAAGCCATTTCAAAGCCTAAAACCAGTGATTTACAGGCTCAAGGATATCTATTTGTACTCTGTCTGCTGCCAAAAGAAAATATAATATTCTTTTTGTGAAAAATAACATTTTCTAGAATCTCTTCTGTATTTCATCTGCAGTGTGTGGTATCCTATAAAAAATTAGGAGGTGTGATTAAAAATGCAGAGAGAGAAAATGAATGAGAAGTAAGCAATAGAGAATAATAACAGACCTACATATACTCAGATATTAGACTCAACAGATAAGTTCTTCAACAAATATTGAGTAAACTGTAGTTGAGTAGCTGCTAAGTGTCAGATACTTGGGACATATCAGATAGTTCTGACTATGCTATTACCCTAATTTCTTCAAATACATGATAAAATTATTAATAAAGCTTTAGTTTTAACTAGTTACCTCAAAAAATCAAATAATACTGAATTCATCTCTTGCCTTTTCTAAATATATTTAATATAATGGCATATAGTTTGTGAAAGAGAGTACCTAACAATTCCCAAAATGTTTTGATCTTTTAGAGTATTCTTAGAATAATTGGATGATCTAGGGTGACTATTTTGGTTTTAACTGGATGTGTACTTTTATTTTAGAGTGAGCGACTGTGGGCTCTTTAAAATTACACCCTTAAACAAAAATATTCATACTCTGAAAGAGATGGGATTACTTGTCTTCTGAAAACATCTAATTTAAAAGATAGCTTTTAAATGTTTTGTCAAGAATAATCAGTTTTCCAATTTTCTAACCAGAGACCAACCAAGACAAAGATTTAAGAAAGACATGAGTTATAACTGTTGTTAAGAAACTGTAATCTTAATTGCATTGTAGTGCAATATTGAGGATAATCAACTAATTAGTATAATCTATCATTTAAAAAATTTCTCACAGTATCTTGCCTTCTCTCAACCTTTATTTCCATAGAAGGATTTGAGAATTTGGGACAATTCTCCTTCTCTCTCTACTGTCATAATTAGTTCAGTTTTTCTGACCTCTCAACTGGAATACTGTACCAACCTCCAAAATGGTTTTCTTGTCTTAAACCTTATTCTTCTTCAATTTGTCATTGAAACTGTTATCACTGATCCTGGTCTTATACCATGTCATTCTTTCTAGTTAAAATCTGTCACCTGTGGGACAAATCTAGCCTATAGCATGCATACAGATCCCCATCTGCTGGCCCTTATCTTCTTGTCCCATCTGATTTCCTATTGGTTGGCCCTTCTCACATCATGCCATAATTAACTCTAAACTTTTTCCAGTTTCCTGCACTCATCTCCATATTTTATCTCTCAATAACTTTCTGTGGAACTCCCTCCTCAATTTTTTTACTTAGCTAAACCTTCTTCATCCTTGAAGACTATAGCCATTGTCATCTGCTCCAGCAAGTTCTTCCCAAACTCCTCAGCCTTATTAAGTGCAATATTACTGCACCATTAGTACAGTGCAGTCCATGTTATATAGAAGGCATTTTTTCCGCAGGTTATTTTTATTAGACTTTAAGCTTCTAAAAGGATGTCAACTTATTTGTTTTCCTCGGATATAACTTTTGTTTGTTGAACTTACCAGAACTGACATAATTATCTGAGAAGCTTACAACTGAAGCATAGGTCCAGAAATATAGCAATTCACAGATCACAGAAGTGTGAGGTTAAGAAATAAAGGAGGGATAGATAGATGTGAACATATATCAAGAACTCTAATATAAGAAAAATTCCAAAGGAAAGGAAAGGAGAGGAAAGGGGACTGGAGGGGAAGGGGGCGGAGGAGGGAAGGGAGGGGAAAGGAGGAGGGAAGGGAAAAGAAAGGGAAGGAAAAAAGGAAGGAAGGGAGGGAAAAAAAAAAAGAAAGAAAGAAAAGAAAAATTCCAGCATGGTGTCTCTAAACTTGCCAGCATCCAGACCTAGGAAAGAAACACTATAGATTAATTTAATAACCTTTGTGACATTAATCAGTAAAAACAGGTATTTTTTCCCTGGTATAGTCAGGATAATGTATTTTAGGATGTAGACAATAAGAATTTGTGTTGTCTTTAACATTTTCTATTTTGGTGAGCTTATGAAGAGATACTGTTAGAGTAGGTAGTGTTATAATAAGGGCATCCAACTGCCATAGTTTGAAAGAAATAGTCCTTAAAAGTAAATAGTTTTTTGTTTTCATTTCCTCTTCACTAAGCAACATTCAGACCTATAATTTGGGTCCTGAGTGGGTTGACCTGTGGTAGAGAAGTACTTCAATTAGTTAATTGACCTACTTCTAGTTACCTTAACAGAAAAAAATTTGATTGTTATTGTAATGCAAATCAGTTCCTTGTGAGTTTGTTAATGTGAATTAGTTCCCAGAGCCAAATTACATTAGGTAAACTGATAAAGTAGTCTGTTCTTGCAGTGTGTCCAATCCTGTAAATCCTGGATCTAAGTAATGTGATTACTCCTTATCTGATATCCCTACTTCACCCCAGCTGCCTGCAGCGACTGTGGCAGTGAGCCTTTTTCTTTGAGATTTATTTTTGTAGTATATTTCTGTTTGTTACATAAATTGCTCCATAGTTATATTTTCTGATCAGGACTCAGAATTGTCTTACTAATGTTGTCAAAGGGCTTCACTGGCTAACAACAAAACATAACACTAGTTCTTTTTATACCCATTAACATGTGAATATTCTCTACTGACCCTCTTCCTTCTGTCCTGAAATCTTACTAATGTCAGAACTCCTATGGCTGAGAGAATTTCTTTCCTTTTTTTATACAACTTATGATTATCTAAAGGTAAGTTTTCTTTCTTAAAAATATTATTCCCTTAAAAATTTTGTTTCAAGTATTATGTATTTGAAAGTTGCTTAGAGAGTAGATCTTAAAAGTTTTCAAGAAAAAAAGCTTTTGTAACTGTGTGTGGTGATGGACTTTAACTAAACTTACTATGGTAATCATTTCACAATATTATATGTATTTCACTAAAAATTAATTTTAAAAAATGAGCTTTCAAAAAAATGCACATTGTATTATAACACTTTGAGTATTTACATTTCCATCAAATATTGCCTTTGTAGACAATATCGATTGTCATATTTAAAACTGGTTTTTGTCTCCTCAGTTTTATAGAGCAGAAGTCGAAGCTCTCCATTCTTCAGGTATGACAGCGGTTGTTAAATTCATTGATTATGGAAACTATGAAGAGGTGCTACTAAGCAACGTCAGGCCCATTCAGACAGAGGCATGGGTACGTGATCCAAATTCTGTACGGAGGCATAAGCTATTTTGAAGAAAATGCATAGCTCTAAAAGATTAGTCATAGCAATAAAAAAATTTGCCAGTGGAAAAAAATATTTTGAATTTGCTTGAAACTGGCTACTCCTAAAATAAAATTCTAATTGGTTGCACTGAACTACAATAAAAGTGAATGCGTTGGAATTAACTTTTCTTGTGTAATGCTTTGTTATATTATGCTTTGGAAATAGGTGCCCTTTTTTACGTTTGCAAGTTTTTGTGCATATTTTGTTCCTTCCTAGCTTGTTCCTTTAAATTTGACTAAATTATGTGCAGCAGTTGTCAGATTTAAATCCCTGTTGGATACATGTATATTCTTGATTTTTTTAGTTACATATCAAATTAAGAAAAACACTTTAAATTATACATAAAGTCTTGCTGCATGTACTACATATATATTTACATATGTGTATGTACAGATTGACTATAGTATCTGTTTAATAATTATTTGATTTTGTTGCCCAATGTATGTCAAAGTTCTGTGATAATCTTGATGATGTAATTTAGAACTATTGGCCTCATGGGAGTCTATTTCATATAAGGACTTATGTGAGTTTGTATAGGTAGATTCTCAGCTACATTTCAAGAAAATCAGGAGGGTAAGGCATATTAAAATTAGTTTCATTAGTTTCATTACAGTTTTTTTTTAATTTCCCTTCTCTAATTTATAGGTAGCTGTTAATAAACTTACTGTTAGAAGTCTAATTTGTTTGTTTCTCTAAAATATCAAAATATACTATGAAATTGTATTATTCAGACATTAGCCTTATCATTGAAATATGTAGTGTCTTCTCATTTGCTGACTTTAGTTTAGTTTTGATCTTCTTACATTTTTTTGTCACCACCTCAGTGTCATCTACCCCTACCCCATCCCTTCTCCTCAAGAGAAATAAAACAATAACAAAAAGCCTAGTACCAGTAATTATGCTTTGGGCCATGGAACTTTATTCTTTACCTTTTTATTCTAGAAAAACTATCATTTTCTAGATAATTTATCATTTCATATTTTATAATATATTACTAATGTTTCATATATTTAATTAAGAGATCTTTCTCCTCACTCTCATTGTCTAAAGTTTAGACACTTTTTCTCTAAAAGACTGAAATACCATCAGTACTTAATTTATGTCTTTCTTTTCTTGGGGAAACTTGACATAACCATATCTTTGCCCTTCAGATTCTCATATGACTTGGCTATTTTCTTTCTCTTTTTTCCGTTAATACCTCTTAATCTTATTTTGATGGTAAAAATAATTATTTATTAAGTCTGTATTTCTAGAAGATGAGTCCGGGTTTGGTGTTCATAATGTGCTTTCAAATGTGTTTAACTATTACAGTCAAAGAGTCAAAATAGAGTTTTTACCTTTAGTTTTTTTTTTTAATTTTTTAAAGGATTTGATAAGAGATTGATTTTATTCTTTTCTCCCTAGAGAAAAATTTTGCTTCCTTGCTTTACCTCTTTTCTACTTCCTTTTTCTGTTTCAGGGTGGCCATACTGATGAGCACATTTGTCATTCCTCACTGTAGCTCTTCCATTCAAAGGTGTTGGGTATTGAGTGATAATTTTCTTTCTACAGTCAGTGGGTTTGCCTTTCCCTGCCTTGATAGTCTTCATTGCTTTATCATTGATTTTAAGTCCATGTAAATTTAGTTGGACAATAACTTTATCAGATGTCACAGCCCATGTAGCAATTCTGAACCACAGCAATACTTTCATATTCTTTCTACCCATTTGTGAATATTCATCTATGCTTTATTCCATTTTTTTACCAATTTACTTTTTTGCAGTCAGCTTAAAAATCTTGTAAAATGCTTGAAGTATTTTACAGAAAGAAGCAGGATAGAATCACTAAATCTTTTGAAGATTTTGGTATTTTTCTCTCCTGTGATTGTTGATATTTTATGATTTTATGTAAATTAACATAGCAGATATTTTTGCATCATAAACATTTTTTTGGGGGACAAGATCATTCTTCTTTATCTCCTTGAATAACTGACTTAGTTTGTAGAAGCATCTCCTTGATATGCAGATGATGTCACCATCATCTTCATTCATCTCCATTTTTAAAAATAATACGTATGTGCATATATCCATAAAAAGCCCCTGAAGAAAAAGAGTGCATGCAGTTGTAAATACATTTAACGTAGAGTTAGCGTTGTGTTCTGGCCTCTGAGAGTATTAATGTTGGGGTCTATGAGCACTTTTTCTTTGTGACAAGTTTTAAATTAATCAAAAGCAAATATTCACTAAATCAATAAGAAGAAAATGCTAATAGACAAGTCCTACTAGAAAAATTAAAGGGCTGCAAAGGTACAGTGAAGTTTTCAGAAGCCTTAACACAGTTGTTCACTCACACCATGGACTGTGTAATTTTTAATTTTTAACTCTTGCACTATTTTTAATTGTGGTATTATATTGTATCTTTTATTAAAGTGTTTGTTTGTTATTGGTGTAAGATTTTGGAAGAACCTCATTTTCCTAAATGTAGCAATGACCATTCATTAAAGAGTTTTCTAATAGTTTGCTGGAAAAACAACCCCAAAACTTGCATATAAACCGAAAGCTTTTATAGAAATCAGTTGCCTGTATTGTCTCTTAAAGGCGTAAGGATAAATCATTAAATAAAATGCATGAAATCTAAAGAGACTCAGAGACTACGTTCATAGTCTCTCGTATGGAAAATTAAAATGAAAATCAATTTAATACTTTAAATCCAAGAGATAATATTTTTCTCATGAAGTTTAGGAGTTATTCACCTTTGCTCTATAGACTAAATACTTATTTTCCCTTTCCATTTGGATACATCTTTTTATTTCCAGAACATAATCAATGATGATATTTTAGATGGTGAAAATATATGCTCTGATTATGATTAAATATTTTATTTCCTCCGAAATGATTCAGTAAACTTTTTGGTAAGTCATCCTTGATTTTTTTGTGTTCTAGCTAGATTTCACCTGGTTCTTTAGCTGTCATTAAATATTACCTTTTAAATTTAGTGTCTTTATTATAATGAGCTCTCCAAATATCCCACATAGTGTGGGGTTCATAACTTTTCTTAACTGGATGAATGCTCTCACTTTTTTCCCCCAGTGTTCTTTAAACATTATACGATTTTCCTTATTTTTCCAAAGTAGATGAAGCATTAGTGAGTTTTGTATTATTTGTAAAATTATATAGGAAGAAAAGTGCATTATTTTCTATGTCTGATGACTGTATGAGAAAACATTAGGAGCAGAGCAAATTGCTATTTGTGTTTCCTGCAGGCCCTTTCCAAATTGGTTCCTTTTAACTCTAAAGCCTATACCGGGAAACCAGTAAAAAGATGCCACAGGCAATTTGGAATTACTGTAAAATACCCTGGCGCTGCTGCTGAGACAAACCTTTTGTGTTTTTAGAGTGTAATTGCTTCTGAATTGCTTTCCTAACCCTGGAGAGACACTTGTCAGGTCTTGATTTTCCAAGTATTTTTATGACCTGGATTCTGTGGAGGCTTTTATATCCAAGAAATGTTTTTGAACTTGCTGGTTTCTAAACTTTTTTTTATAAATTCATAGTACTTCTTAATATCAGGAAAAGATCTGGTTCAGCTATTGTTTCAACAAAAATAATTGTGATTATGTAGATAATGCTTAGTTCTAAGGCCTTAACACCATCTTAGGCAGTAATTTTAGACAGATGGATTGTTATTGCCTTTTAGATCATCCTATTTTAAATGTTTTTCTGTTTTCATCTATTCAACAAATATTAATTGTACATCTATTAGGTGCTGCGTTGCTCTAGGTGACAGATATATGTTAGTGCACAAAACATACAAAAATCCGTGTGCACTGCACAAAGTTAGAAGAAAGTTATAGTTCCAGTTACGTGAAACAAACAAATATCTCATGAGGGTCTTTTTTATTTCTTCTTGAAGCTTTAAGATAAAGTACAAGTGGAAAAATCTTGTTTCCTGAAGTTGTAATTTAAATAATGTTTAGGTCTTTATTCCACCTTAGTTTGAATATAAAATTAATGTGGAAGAAAAAAGTATGACTTAATGATTTTTTTCTATTTTAAAAGTTCTTATCTATTTAAAAAGTAAAATTTGTTTTTAGGATGGTTTGGGTTCTTTTTTTTTAAAGAATTATGATACATATATATTTTTTTCAGTTTTAGTATACTTTACAAAAGAAGCTATCTCAGGTTTTACTTTTGAAGTAACTTTGCACAAATATTTTATAATGACATCCTTGGAGCACATTTGAAAGTTATCTTTTTAAATTCAAATGATGTTCACAAAAAACTGTAAATTATTCTATCACTAATAAAAATATTAAAAAGAAACATATAATCAAAAAAGCCCTAACCTATTTAATGAGGAAGGAGATTGAGAGTTATGATACATAAATTAATGAGTTAAAATGGATCCTAAATGTATTAGAACAAGGTCATGTTAATAATTTTAATGATGTAGTGATAAAGTTAGGCTATAACTAGTTTGTATTTGATATCAAAAGATCATAATAGATATTAAAAAGAGGACAATTGTTATAGAAATCATTAACTTCAAAGGAAAATTAGAATTATTTAACAGTGAGGTTCTGCTAATTAGTATCCAATAAAAAGTACAAGCACATATTTGATCATAGTCCAGAGGCTTTTCATTCTTGCTGATAATTCTTAAATAAATAGTGGGTGTAATTTACCATATTTAAATTTCTGCACTAAAAGCGTAAGTTGATTAAGGTCACTGAAACACTGAAATACATTTTTTTCCACCAGACCTATCTCAGGAAACTTTCCTTTCAAACATTGTCATATGGGCAGAACTCATTGTGTTCTGTTTTGTTTTGTTGTGGTGTAAACAGAATTAATCAGAATGAAACTGTACAGCTAGCTTAGCCCCATTTAAGAACATAATTTTCAAATCACAGATGATGGAATTTGGGGATTCCATGCAATATCTTCAA